ACACAGCAACAATGAGCATGGGATTGGGGGGGAGGGATGTAGGGAGAACTTCAGTAGGAGGAGGATGGATATAGACAGTCACTTTTAGTCTATAGGGAATGGGAGCACAGCAACAATTGGCATGACATTGGGGGATATACATTTATATCACTAGATATAAATATACATAGCAGGTCACCCAGAGCCACAACCAAGTCAGTGATGATGTGAACTACAGGATATGTGATTGGATTGGGTTAAGGAACTTGTCTCAACTTCCATGAATAATACATACTGGATAATAAAACTCTCAAGGATATGAAGCGATCCTTCTTCATTAACAAATGACTAGAATTTTAACAATTAACTGAAAACTGTTATTCCTCAAAAAATAAAACCATACTCTCACAACGCACAACTAAATAATACAAACATGTCATTATCCCTATCATTAAAAAAGAGCAATTAATTCATGGAGATAAGTGCACTTCACTATTATGGACTCTTTCCATTTAATCATGCTCATAAAAACTTTTCTTCACAATAATATCACCCCTATAAAATTTATAAAATAATTCCATAAATAAAGAGGAATGTAATGTAAGTTTCAATCACTACAACCATAAAAAAAACCTTGAAAGATGTTACTATTGGCCTTTTTTGTAAAATCCCAAAACCCCTAACACTTTGATACACTGTTTCCAGTTGTACCATGATCACCTTAAACATGATATCATCAAATTTTATACTAACATACAAAGTTTTGAAAAAAACAATAGAAAACCATTAAAGTACTTATTATGCTGGTATGATTTTGGATTACAAGCACAACATTTTGGAAGCTTCAAATAAAATGGGAAAAGTACCTGACTACTATGCAACTGATATTGTTTATACACACCAGTCTTTGCTATGCAAGGCTGTGGAAACTTTTAAATATTTTTCTCAGATTCAGTGAAACCATTTTTTTCTTATTATATACATTGTTCTCCATATGAAAAGTGGAAGTTGCTTAAGATTTTGCATCTTATCGTATCCATCACAAGTGAGCTCCGTGTCCAATCAGACAACTGGATAATTCAACTGATCATAGACATTTACTTGAGTTATTAATTGAATTATATCAACAAATCAAGATACTCAGAATTTTCTTTGATATTTTCGAGCCTGTAAGATTATATCCTACAAGTACAGAATGATTTTGAAGACATTCATCCCACTGAGGTCAATACCACGTCATATGATTTAGACTAGAAAATTTTTACCATGTTACACCGTCATGATTGACTTCAAATTTTACCCTATATTCAAATTTGATGTACCTGTTAAAAACATTTTATGCACCTTTAAAATAAAAAGTTTTATCTAGAAATTTCTGATGCAATTTGTAATTAATGAAAATGAAATTGCCTATCTGAAACTACATGAAATATATAAAAAAAATATTGCACTCTGACTGGAATGTATCAAACTGTATCAAGGTAGAGGCATACACTGATAAAAACTGAAAAGATGTTTCAACACGTCCGAATAATGTGTGCATAAAGGGCAAACATGTGTCAAAGTGTATGAAATTGTTAAAAGTTTTGGAAATGTTACAAAAAAGGCTTTATGTTTTATATTATGCCCTTTGGCTGAGTCACAAACATGTTACTTCATATAGGAAATATGATCAGTTTCTGTTCTTACAATGAAGGCACAACCCCCAAAAATATGCTTTCTCCATATTTTCAAATAAATATTCATCTCATCTAACTAGTCCTATCAGTTGACTTTTCCCTCAAGTTCTACAATAATTTCTTCCTTCATTCTCAACTCTTCTTCAAGTTCACTGATGCGCTGTCTTGCTTCCTCTAATTCATCTTTACAGGATTTCTTCTTTTCTGCAGAAGCCTGTAGGAAAAAATATGGTGGAGAGTTGGAAAATGGAAGCAAAACAACTCATTACACAAAGGATATAAAAACCTCTTCTGATTAAATTTCTGACTTTTAGGTATGGAAAGAATTGGAAAAAAAATAGCTTAGGTAAAATAATGAACATCTATTATTAGACAATCTGAATGAAAAAGAGCAAAATCTTACTTTTTCCAGGAGAGATGACTGCACTTCTGGAGAAACTACATAGCCTGCAGCCATCATAATTCTGTCAAGCTCTTTCTGGTAACCCTGTAAGACACACGAACATGTCATCTTAAAGTACATACAATCAAACCAGTAATAAAAAGTCTTCTGAGGAAACCAGAAATGCCATTGTTATATGTAGTTTTAATGAAAGGGTTGGTGGTGGTTTATGGTGGTTAATGGTACAAAGCAAAATAAAAGTGCTAGACATCAAAGGTCATAAAGCACTATAGGAAGATGTAGAAGTAAAAAGGGTAAGGAGGGGTCAAGTTGATTACATGTGCTATAAGTCAAAAGTCATACAGCAGTTAGGATAGTATGGTAAGAGAATGAGTGAGTGGGTTAATGTTAGATCAAATGGAGGATATGTATGTGCCTGAGAAAGGAAAAGCTGTCAAAAAAAAGTTTATGGGATTTTGTAAGGATGTCTATGGGGTAAAGCAGGGATGGCAAAAAGGGAAAGGCAGGTATTAGCAAAAGGGTATGAAGGGGGAGGGGTACAAATGAAGCAGAGGGGATGAGGTGTGTTGGGAAGAAGTGGGAGAAAAGGGCATAGAGAGATTGTTTAGTAGGAGGAGGTTGGACGTTGGCAGTCACTTTGAGTGTAGAAGGAATGGTTAGATAGTTTTGAATGTCCACAAAAGTTTCTGAAAGGAGGTTGTTTGGGGAGGTCTGAGAAATGAAGGTTTTCTTATGACAGGGAGAAGAGGGAACTGACATTTGAGGGGCTGAGGAAGAGGCAGATGTAGTAGAGGATGCAGTAGAAGATGGGGTGGAACATTTGAACGGTCCGATACAAAGGGTAGAATGAAGAAGAGGAGGGGTATGCATCTGGGAAGTAGAAACTGAAGTGTTTGGATTTAGAATAGCAAAAGAATAACTGAGAAAGGGAGGAGGTAGAAGTGGGGACATAAGGAGTAGGATGAGGAGATACCGGGGATGATGTAGAAAAATCTTTTGGAGAAGAGAGAGCAGCAGAGTGAAGGAAAACACTGGTATAGGTAGCACAATAAAAACCTCCCTGCATGCTTCCAAAAGCTAATGTATGGTCACTGTTTGCTGTTATTTATCAATTTATTTTTCTTTAATTCATTTAAGCATAAATAGGGTAATCAAATGGTTATTGCATACATATGCTTAATATCGACTTTTCTGTGAATCATCATGGACAGGTGGTTAGTTTATACAGGTGGTCACTAAGGCAGGTTTGGTTGTATTATGAATATTTGCCAACTATCATCCATACAGTTGTATTATGGATATTTTACCAACGATTATTCACAGTCTATATATTTTTTTCTTACTGAAGGTTTTGAATGTTATTCTACTTACCTTTTCTGTTATGTCTCCATAACTTCTATCTGTCTCTAGCACATCCCACTGATGTCTCAGTTCACTTGGGAGCCTTGGATACACCACCATAGCATTTTCTCCACAAACTTCTGGAGTCGTAAATTTTGCTAAGTACCTGTCAAAATGGAGAAAATACACTGACAACCAGTCTAAATGCTATACATACTCATTCTATTACCCTTATTAATAATAGAAAAAAGAAAATAAAATTCATCATTTGTAAGGCGGTAAAAACTTGAGAAAGTAGCAAATTCAAAGCAGCATCACATACCTACAGGAAAAAGGTTGGATGGAAAAAGCAAAATAAAGCAGGACTGCATTAATTACATACTTTCCATACATTAATGAGCCTTAACCCATTGATACTGAGATAACACATACGAACATGTCATGTCCTCTGTGTTATTAGTTTCCCTATTTTGTTTATACATAAAAGGGCTTCACAAGTGCTTATTCACCAAGAAGTCCATTTCAAGTCCTACCTATCTCAACCTGGTTACAATTTATATTGTATTTTGAGATTTTTTTTTTTTTTTTACTTTACTTTACTTTACTTTACTTTACTTTACTTTACTTTACTTTACTTTACTTTACTTTACTTTACTTTACTTTACTTTACTTTACTTTACTTTACTTTTATATTACTATCAGTATTGTTAATATTATAAAACTAATCATAATATCAATAATAATCATAACAGTAGATATTATCAGCATTACATACACACAAAAAAATGAAAGCAGAAACAAGGTGGTTACATTGGGTCTAATAGTTGACATTTTGGTGGCTGCTGATTTGTCCAAATAAATTCACAAAACAACTGGGTTAAGCTGGTTAATACATGAAACTGATAAAATTATAATTTATTATTAAAGGTTTCTGCATTAACTATGGAGAATAGAAGAGGACCTCAAAATCATGTATTAAAAAAGCATATCCAAAATTATCTTAGCAGATATTATATAGCACATTGTGTATATTTATAAATAAATCATTATCATCATCTTTAGATATATATACATACATGCATACATGTAACTTTCTATCTATCTATCAAGCTGTCTGTCTGTCTGTCTGTCTGTCTGTCTGTCTGTCTGTCTGTCTGTCTGTCTGTCTGTCTGTCTGTCTGTCTGTCTGTCTGTCTGTCTGTCTGTCTGTCTGTCTGCCTGTCTGTCTGTGTATAAACATAAATATAAACATAGACACAGACATATGTGTGTGTGTCTACATATCAACATATCTATATATCTATATATCTATATATCTATATATCTATATATCTATATATCTATATATCTATATATCTATATATCTATATATCTATATATCTATATATCTATATATCTATATATCTATATATCTATATAGCTATATAGCTCTATATATACATGTTTAAGCAAATTATATTACATTAAAAAATAAAACAACAATGAAATATGAATAATAAAGCATATTCTCGGATATTCTCACCTGCATTTCTCAGGTTCAGAAACAGAAACTAATTCTGATCTAACTCCACACACTATTTCAACCTGCAAAGTAAGAGTGAAAAAAATACACACTAAGGAATTTGTTGTCACTGTTGTAAATATCACAATAATCCTTGAAGTAAACATCTCTATATCGACTTTTTGTTTCTAATTTTCTTATTTCTTAAGTGAAATATTACGAGCATCGACCCTGGAAGACATCCCTTGTTTCATGCCAGAATAAAGAGTAATATACTGAATTCATGAATCACCCAAAAGTAACAAAAATACTGATACTAATATTATGCAAATAATTATAATGAAAATCAAATGTAAAATAAACTGATCTAAAACCTGGAACATAACTATCACATGATCTAAGAACATTATTGTTATTTTCTCATGACCTTTCACTTGCATTCCAAAGTATAATGGTGTAGGCTTATATATAAACCTACCTTTGTGGTTCTGTGGTTATGCATACCACAGGAGCTTCCTTCAACCATTCTCATGGCAGCAAATTTGTTGTCCTTTATTTCCCAATCCAACCACACCCTACAGTAAAAAAAAAAAACCCTCAATTATGCTATGACAAACTCTTCAACAAAAGAAAATAATCTTAATACATTTCTCACCTAAAATACATTGTCTAAATCATTATTAAGCAAGAACTAAGTGCATTATACTCAAATCTTACCCTAATACTCCTTTATATGGTTCATAAAATGCTTGAATATCTTCCTGAGTAATGTTGTTAAATGGGCAGAACATGTATTCATATCTGAAAGTAAAGGTGTGGATTGTAGAACACATTTCCTTTAATAAAAAAAATCTTAAAAATTATATTTATATCTTTTATGACTACCAGATCTACTATTAAAACTAGTGAGTGGACATGGTTTAAGTATTAACATAATATAATATTTGGATTATCAAACAAACATCATGAAGTATTAATCAAACACTGCAAAATATTGTTCACTAATCAAAATGTAAAGTACTAATGACAGTAATAACTAAAACAAGAACAGAAAACAAAAACAAGAAAGGAGAAAGACATGTCCTGCAATCATTTTCTTTCTTACTTCAAATCCTTGTACTTGAAGCATTTTCCATCGAGGTGATACAAGTGGTCTGGTCCCGATACATTTGCAGGTTTCATTCTCGCTTGTAGTTTTTCTTCTGTTTTAGCATCAAGTCCATTCAGATTACTGAAAAATTAATAAACTATCAAACAAATGCATAACAATATATGTACAGCTGCACCTTGATGGCCATTAATATCTACATACTCAAAAAACACAAATAAAGCAGTATTTTAAAGCGTAATTAAGTAATTCTTTCCAACCTTTTGTTGGAGATCAGGAAATATGATACAACAATGGAACCACAATGTTTAATGCAGTCAGGTTGACTTGTCCTGCATTTTGGCAAGCTCAGATGAGGACTTTAAGGGGAGTTAGGAAGTCTTCTTTGATTTTATGCATTCTGTTAAGGAAATCTGACTAACAGTAAGAATGGAAATCTGACTAACAGTAAGAATGCAAAATTTGTATTGGCAGACATAACGTGACTCCCCAACAATAGAGTGGCCTACTGTCATATCCTTAATTATCACCTGTATTAGAGATACCAGTAATTATTTTCAAAAATGGTTCCATTGTACATAACAACTTCTATTCTATAGTAACTGACTCCTTGGTGATTAAGTGCTTCTGGGGTGACATATATGACTAAAAAAAACTGTACCACAGTGTGATCATGAACAAGGCAAGCAAATTTGTACTACTGATATCAACAGGTTTGTTAACTAAAATTCCATGTCTTCTAGATTAACTAGGTAAAGTCCCTGAGCATGGAATTACCATACTGCTGGCACGACAGTGTTAACAGCATCGTTTACAAGGTTTACTAAAGGAATATTCGTGAACGATGCACATGTTCGAAAATCATTGTCCTTAAGGAACAATATGTAAACCATCCTCTCTTATGCTTAAAATTATATAGATATACCATTAACATCTTGATCATATGACATTTTCTTACTCCACAGTTTCCTTCAGTTGGATCTCTACGATTGAAATCCAGAAGAAAACCTAGAATATCTCACCTATAGCCGTTGTTTGGCATCTCATTTATCACTCTAAGTTGTACCATTTCACTGCGTACACCGACAGTCATAGCACAGCACATAAAAGTGTGTAAAATAGCTATTTTATCCATTTTTGAAGCCGACACTTAGGATGTGTTTGCGTTCGGGCGACACGTTGGTGACACGAAGCACCGTTCTTTTAAGGATCTGAAAACATACTATTAACGTAATATATTAATATTCCAAGTACGATACAGATTGCATTATATATTTTGTCATATAAATACTGATAGATGTAACTAATAAATCTAGTTGGTAAATGCAAATTAATGATAGTATGTTTATTTTGCGTAAATGAATACCGAGAGAACAGCAAACGAACGGGTAAAAACAGCAGCAGCAAAGTTCTCAAAAGGATTAAAGCATAATGTGTTAGATGCAAAAAAAACTGGCTCATACTGAGACATACTCTTTCATTGCACCTTACTGTTATTTGTATTGTATAACTGTTTCTTTTTCATTAATACATAGTAACTACAACAAAGGACCTTTACTGGGTATTTTCCGTTTTAGATACATTTTTTTTCAGATTAGAACTGCAGTTGCGCAAATGGAATAAATATATATCATGGAAGTGTGGAAGTCATGATTTTCTCCTCCCTATTTACGTTACCGTAAATATGGTTACTTCGTTTATTTTCTACCTTCATTTTGTAACTTGCTTTACTTACTAGGAGAATTCTCAAGATGATGTAATTTGAAGATTTGTTGTCCCCCGATATAAACTACTGATCTTATCGTTTAAAATGAATATAGATTTGCACTTCTGTCTGCTCTTAACCAAACTATCTGAAAACAAGGACTCACAGAACTATCGTCGCTTTTTACATAGGGGTGAAACTTTTAGTCAGAGCTACTTTAATCTATACTTCTTAAACTTTCATTAAGTGTTTGGTCATAGAGTGTAGGGATCTGTCTTACCGTCTTATCCATCTTTAATTCAATTAAGTTTGCTCTAGGTTTAATGTTAATAAAAGCAAAAATTTGTCTATTATTTGTGGGGAGGGATGTAGATGGTGTCACGATTTTCTTAATTACACACATCATTTCACTTTCACACATAAGTTCTCATCCTTAGCTTGGGAAGTAACTATATTTTGTCTACAATCAATAAAGCAATGGAGCTGACGCCGACAGGGACGTATTGCCGCATCCACCCATCGCTTCCAACCATGGGGGTTCAGCATGGCGAGCCGCCAGGCAGGCTCTCGGACTATCTCTAACTCCTCACGACAGGTCAATCTGCCTAAGCCACGACTTCCTAGATCATCAAATAGGCCTCTTCCACCTACGGTTGGCTTGGAAGAGATAACCTGGTGGCCAGGGTCATCTACGGGGAAACGAGCAAGGTGTCCGTATAGTCTGAGTTGGCGGTCCCGGGCTTTGCAAGTAATAGGTCCTATGCCAGTCTCACGTTGTAACGCCCATCCAACTGTACCCCATGATTCGGTACAAGGATCAGTTACAAAAGGCATCAAGACACGACTCCGGGACACATGATAGTTTCCAGGTTTCACTTCTTTAAAGCAAAACTGGCAGTATCAGGACCTAGAAGACATATAGCGTGTTCCTGCACAGGTGACTGAGTTCATGGCACCTGCTGCCAGAACAATCTACTGATTTGACATGGACTACACTACCAAGTTCTCTGTGACCTCGATGACCTCGCCACAAGCATATACTGACTGAAAAGGTTCTCCAAACAGGCCCGCAAAATCCTGGATCTTGGTCTTGGTCCAGATCTTGAAACTCAGAGGCTTCGCCTCATTGCTAAATGCATCAAGAACCGCCACAAGATTTTCCAAGGACTCAGATAGGATAGCAATATTGTAGGACTCGTCTCCAGAGCTACATCTCAAACACTTTAATGTGCTTTCACAGTCCAGTCCAGCTTTCACAACCGTAGAGAAACACTCCACACCAAGGCTTTTCCCAACTTCACTTTCAGGCAGGGCCGTCGGGAAGGCAGCATTGCAGGGGGGGTATAATGTTTCAAATTTGTCGACAAAGGGCGTGGTCATTGGGCGTTGGGCATTGGTGACTTTATTAGTCACATAATAACTCTATGTTCTGTGAACCATTCGTAGAGAGCGCCGACTAATTAGCAGCAGAAATTGTCAAAATTTACCAATTTGCCGAAAAAATGTAGGTTTAAGGTTTCATTTACCGACAGATGTTTTTTTTCAGGGGGGGGGGGGATCACACCCCACACACCCCCGTCGCGACGGCCCTGCTTTCAGGTTCAAACTCAGCTTGGCTGATTTCCACATCCTTTTCAGATCAAATGTCACCTTCTTTGCATTCCCTACCCGGGCTTTGATTTCAGTTTCACTGTCTCCACGTGGAGTTACAACGGAGCCTAGAAGTTTGAACTTGTTCACATTGTTGAAAGCCTCGCCTTGGATTGTAACACATCCATCACCATGAAGTCATGGAGTTGGTTATTGAACTATTGATCTTCAGTCCATGCTCTTCACTAACTACTCGAAGTAATTCGGCCATGTTATCCATACCTTTCGATCTAGCAAGCAGCGTGGTGTCGTCCGCGTACCGTATATTCCATATGGATCTCCCTCCTACATTGACTACATTCCCTCCATTTTTATTTATTTATTTTTTTTTTTTTTTTTTTTTTTTTTTTTTTTTTTTTTGATAGTAGCCCAACCGATTACCCAGTCCAAGACACAGCCTTGCCTCACTTCCGAGTTAACTGGAAAGAAGCTCGACAGGCCCCCACCACACTTCACAGCACGTTTAGTACCAGTGTACGAGCTTATGGTTAGTTTAATAATCCCCCAAGTCTCAGGATCTCCCAGAGCGATTCGCGATGCACCGAGGCAAACGCTCTTTTGAGGTTAATATAAACTGTGAGCAGCCCACGATCAAGCAAACTATGTCGTTCCAAAATGACTGAAAGCGCCAGAA